GGACTACTTTGTCTTTGTATTTTTCCTATGCTTGACTTTCGCAGACTCTGGGTGAAGTTTAAGTAAGCTCCACTTCCTGTGTCTAGGTACATTTTCCCAGAATACTCACCTTTCCTCCATATTTCCATGTTGCATGTTAGGTCAATGTTATGTATGGGAACCCAAAAACTCACAAACCCTAATCTACTGAGAGAGATATACCACATATTACTAGACCTTAGAATGGCTGGATTTTTTTTATTTTAATTCTTTATTTGTACAATGACAGAGTAAGCAGTAGTACAATAACATATGGCTTGTGCAAAAGCCAGGCAATAGTGTGCATGTGGTTGCCGTCTGTCCAGGTTTTACATTATATAACTATAACATAAACATAAATATAAACATAGTAAAAGGAATAAGGATAAACCTAAGTGAGGTAAGGTGAGAGAATAGGTCCAGCACTTCTGTGATCTGGCATATGCGGCACTAGGTCTCCTGGTTGCTGTGTCGAGCATCCCCAGTCCCGCAGCCATGGCTCCTTTGTGGGCCTTCAGCCATGACCCTGGCCCGGGTCCCCCCAAGAGGGTCCAAGCGGTAGCGCGCCGCTTACCCCCGAGTCCTAACCCACAGAGCACCCAGCTGCGGCCTTGTGTCAGCGACCATGAATGTTTTTCAAGTAATGATTCATTAACAGTAACGTGCTTTTACCATATTATGTTTTCATTTTGGTTACACCATCAGGGGGGTGCCAAACAGGGTTCGTAGCTTTAGGTGTATATTGTTTCCTTGGAGTTCGTCTCCGCTGGTGTCCGCCGCACCGCCATGTCACCCCCGTTACGCTTGTCCGCGGGCAGACACAGCGGACCCCAGCTGAGGCCCCCCAGCCAAGGTCACCTATTCCAACACATCGGTACCAGCACTATATGCAAGTTTAGCTCTCTCCAATATGGGTGTAGATACCGGTTAGTTGCTCGGCACCGGAGGTAAGGGCCGTCTCCCCAGTTCACCCCTCCCCATCAGTGTCCATCTAATAGTGTGTGCCACTCTTCAAGTTGCTCCCAGAGATCCCATACCCTTTGGAAGGAGGCCGTTGTGTTGCGGACCTGTGCTGTCATGCCCATGGGTCAAGTGTTAGTCTCTTTTGTAGGACCCGTGAGCTCAGGTCTACCACACCCTGCCAGTATTCTCTAACTCTGGGACAGTGCCACCACATGGGTATGAAGTCACCCTTTTCCCCACACAGGTGCCAGTATCTGTTGGACAGATCTTCATGTGGCATTGTTTGACATGGGTCGTGTTCCACCGAAATAGCATTTTGTCAGCTAGTTCCTGTAAGGAGGTGCATATGGATATTTTCGCACAAGCCTCCCATATGTCCTGCCAATATGTCCCCTCTAATATTTCTCCTAAGTCCGCCTCCCACCAGACTGTATATTTTAGTGTTCCCCATTCCCCGGATTCTGAACTGATGTGGTTATAGAGTAAGGATATTAGTTTTGCAGGCATAGATTCCTTAAGGCATATGTTTTCAGAAAGGGTCAAGCATTTGGCTATTGCTGTCCTAATCTCACCTGTTTGTGCGAAATCCCTGAGCTGTAGATAGCGAAAGAAGTCTCGGGTGCCCAGTGGGACAAGTGATCTTAAGTGTTCATACGTTACTATTTCATTGTTAACATATAGATGGATGTAGCATTGTAAACCCGTGACTAGCCCTCATTCCTGGCAGGAACGCTCTATTCCTTAATACCGGGGTCATCTCTATTCCTTAATACCAGGGTCATAGAAAGGCTGGATTTAATATGTAGAAAAGTCAGGGAGAAGGAAAAGAAAACAGGACAATTGATAAACATGCCAAGAGGTCAGGAACACAGAAATCAGGGAAATTATTAAAAACAAGCCAAGATCAGTAACAAATACTCAAATACATTATAAACGCACTCTTGGGTATACGAGAACCACAACATGGTAAATTGCTCAATCAAGCCTTGGCTTTAAATAGCAAGAGCACTTAAACTATTAGTTGGCATAATTTTAGAGCGCCTAAAGTCTCGAATTTGTCTGAATGGCGTGTCGGTGTGACTGACTATAAACAGATGTGCATGAGTAACATGCAGTGTATGTCCCGCTATCGGATCCGGGAGAAGGTGCGCCATTAACAGCATTTTGCCTTTTCTGAACATCCTGTGAAGCCGGCATGTGCGGGAGTTTGACCACACAAGCTAGTATGGGCAGATGATGATGATGCAGTAAAAGTAATTTCCAGGAATACTAAGATGGAGGTGCTTAGGAAATACTGTAGATCCGGAGAAGACATGACACACTTAAAAATGTTCCCCCAATAACCTAGAGACATTTTGGGATGAACAATAAAGTGTAGAGGAGTCGGGAGAGAGTTTTTTTTTTTTTTAAATGGATGCGTCCATCCTCATTCTCAGCCCCTGCGTTCTGTTTCTCACCCCTCTTATCCATCTAGTAAGTTCCCATTAGAATAGGGTCCACCACTGTTCCACTGTTCCAATATTTGTTTGTTAGATTTTGTATTTTGTATATTTCTACCATATCTTTCATCATTATAATTTACTATAAAACCAGTTTCTAATCTTAACCCATTAAGGATGCAGGATGGAAAATCAACGTCCAATACTACAATTAACCCCAGATTGACACAATCGCAGCAATTGTGGGGTAATGTTCCTGTAGTGTGCCTCCATGTCTGAGGCACACTACAGCAGGCAGTTTCACTTTCACAGCCTATGTGATCGCTCTGACCGGGAGTCAGAGCGATCACACATGCTGAAGTGAAACCCGATCTGTCTCTCTGCAGCTCCGTGTGAGCAGTAAAGTGCAGGGAGACAGATCGGTGCTGATCTATCTTTCATTGTAAATAAAAGTGTTAATAATAAAATCCCAACCTCCCTCACCTCTTTCAGATAAAATTGAACTCCTTCCCTGTCCTTTGATCACTAAGGTTCAAAATATGCCTTTTGAAACACCCTGGGGTGTCTTCTTTAGGAAATGGTATGTGTAAAGGATTTCCCTGTATTTATCTGTATCCATTCAGTTATTTCCTCTCCCTGCTATTTAAGTGACTTTGAAATATTCGTTTTATTTATGTGTTCAGGAAATGTATTCGTTCTACCGAACGGAGACCACCCTGGGTAGCAATCAGAACTTAGAACACCAAGTAACCACATGAAAACTGCAAAGTAATTGAGTGCTCCTAGGTGGCGTGGCGAGAACAAAGGATGGCGGCCATCTTAAATCTCCCGAACGCGGCCAGCGGGACTTACTCATGGATTGCCTGGAACTGTTTCGGTATGGCAATCACACGAACACCCGGTCCTTATGGAAGTACCGTCTTACCTATTTCCACTCGCAGTATCAGACCAGCGTTCGGGAGTTCCAATCAATCGAATGAGGGGAGCATTCTCATGTAACCAGCTGCAGTGTAACTATGGTGGTTTTCGTGTAATTCTGCACGAACAGAGACTGGCTCTTGCTACCAATTTCATGGAACTCTAAATCGGATACAACCACACGGCGAGCTGGTCAAAAATCCACACGATGCGACACGGAAACTACCAAACAGATTTTCATGCAATTTGGATATGTTACTCCCAGTATCCCCAGCTACTATTGGATGTGGTTTCTATATTCATATGTAATGTAGAAAGTATATTTCCAAAAATGTTGAAAATTGTTAATGTTTCTGGCCAGCAGATAATTCAGTTTAGTATGTTGCTGAAACTCAATTATCTAGCCTGGCCCAGAGGAGGAGCTTGTACTGTATAAATTGAATGCCTGTTGCTTCCAGTAAATCAGTGTTGTTCCAGCATTAAGCTTTGGCTCATGTGTGGATTATTTGGCGATACCAGCGATATTTATTCCTGTGGATTCTAGGCGATACTCTGCTATTGGGAAAAGGAATACTAGACGGTGATACCAGTTACTACCATCACAGTATGCCTTTGTGAAGTAATTGGAAAACACAACCTACTAAAAAAATTCCAAAGTGGGACATGGACACAGCGTAAAACTTCGAACTTAAATATCTGTCTCTCAAATGTGCCCCTTCAATGTTGTCATAGACCGGGTAAAGGTACATACGGCTGTACTGCTGTATTTAGATGAGATAGATGAGTAACATATGAAGTATTATACTGCCGTAGCACACATAAGGTTTGCAAAATATATATTACAAACTCATTGTGTGTGTCAAAAAGGCATAAAAAAAATGCTTATTAGAAACCTCCAGCACCAACTCCTGTCTGGGCAGTCCCACCCAACCACCAGGGATAAGGTCCTCCCCTCCCTAGCCCAAGGTGTGATTGGAGCATATGTGAAGGGTCATAACCTCCCTTGTGAAAATTAACCAATCACTTCCAGGCTGGCACTGATCTGTGGGACATCTTCGTGTCACATGGGGATCAGGGATAAGCCAATCTTTGTTCCTGGTGTCTGGGGACCATATAATTCAGCCATGGTCCCAGGGTTCTGGTTAAACAAGCGCAGACAAAGTGCTACTGGAAAACTGATTGATCATCTTGTAAAGAGCCACAGTGCATTTATAGAACTAAAGCAGAAAGCTGAAGCCAGGGGCCAACATATATTTAGATATTTACACAATCACCTGGATCAAATTAGGGCATCTGGGCCCGTGGGGTTTCTTGCAGCTGATTTGCATGTTTGGCCGGATTTCCATGGGAACAGATCTCCTTTGGCCGATCCGACAATGAATTGTGCGATTGTTGGATTAAGGCTATCTAAGGAACTCAATAATCTGGGTATACTATATTTGGCCATAGTACAGAGCATTGCGTTGGGAACAAGACATAATTTGGAATGCATGCAGGCTTCAGGGCACCGGATCAGCACTATCTTTTTGTCTGGTGGGCTGAGCAAGAACCTCTTGTTTTTGTAGATGCACGCAGATATCACGGGCCTGCCAGCTGTCTTGTCCAAAGAAGTGGAGTCGTTGTTAGTAGGAGCCTCAATTCTCAGAGCCTGTGCCTCCAACAATTTTCCATCAATCCAGGATGCCAGGAAGAAAATGTCCAAAGTTGGAAAAGTAATTCTCCCCAACCTTCAAGAAAAAAGATTTTACGATAAAAAGTACCAAGTATTTCTGAAGTTATATGAACACCAGCTGGAATATTAGGCTATTATGAAAGGAATCTAATGAGACTGCTCCCCTCTCCACATTGCCCAGAATGCCAGACAGAAAGGCTGCTAAACAGAACTGAGTGTATCAAATAAAGGATTAAAGACATGATGTTTGAGTGTGAGCTTATGTTAAGATCTCAGTGAGAAATGACATGCCAAGACTATCTTGGTGGATACAGAGTCATGAAAGAGTTAAAAATATCTCAACATGCTGTTTTTATACTAATTAGATTGTGGTAATAGCTGCTCATTGTAGTAGGGCTATATTAAAAAAAGTGGCATAAAGAAAGGGTTGTGCCTCCCTTTGAACTGTATTTATAGTGGCTGGGGCAAATAAAGGCAAGAATATGGACCCCAAAAAAATGCTTATTACCACTACACTTGGTACAAACAAGCGGAAAAATGATTTTATGTTAAAGTTCAAAATATGCCTTTTGAAATACCCTCGGATGTCTTTTTTAAGAAATGGTATGCCTTTGTGGTGTAGTTGCAATAATCAACCTACTAAAAAACTCAAAAGTGGAATATGGACCCAGTGTAAAAATATAAAGTTTGAAAAAACATAAATGACCGTGTCTTAAATGTGCCCCTTTAATGTCCACATATACCTGGCAAAAGGTACATATGAGGGTATTGCTGTGCTCAGATGACATAGCTGAGCAAGATAGGAAGTATTATAGAGCCATAGCACACATAAGGTTTGCAAAATATACAGTACAAACTCACTATGTGTGTTAAAAAGGCAGAAGAAATGCTTATTACCACTACACTTGGTACAAGCTAGCGGAAAAATTATTTCACGCTAAGGTTCAAAATATGTCTTTTAATATACCCTAGGTTGTCTTCTTTAAGAAATGGTATGCCTTTATGGGGTAGTTGGAATAATCAACCTACTAAAAAACTCAAAAGTGGAATATGGACCCAGTGTAAAAATATAAAGTTTGAAAAAAACTTAAATGGCTGTGTCTCAAATGTGCCCCATTCAACATCCACATATACCTGGCAAGGTACATATGGGGGTATTGCTGTGCTCAGACGACATAGCTGAGCAACATAGGAAGTATTATAGATCCGTGGCACACATAAGGTTTGTAAAATATACAGTATAAATTCACTCTGTGTGTCAAAAAGGCAGAAAAAACATTGATTACCACTACACTTAGTACAAGCTAGCAGAAAAATTATTTCAGGCTAAGGTTCAAAATATGGGTAGAAAATGGAAATAGGGATACAGCTAGCATTTTCTACCCATGTGATATCAAAGAGGTTCTAGTGGGAAAGACCTCTAGGGAAGCTATCTAGTTTGTACTCAGTTAAGTACATTTTCTCTATTTTTCTGTGATTAATAGATTTCTTCTACCTAAGTATAAGGTTCAAAATATGCCTTCTGAATTACCCTGGGATGTCTTTTTTAAGAAATGATATGCCTTTATGGGGTAGTTGGAATATGTAGCCTGCTAAAAAATGTCAAAATGGGGTATGGACACAGCGTAAAAATTCAAAGTTTTAAACAAAACCGCAATGGTTGAAATGAAATGTGCTCCTTCAATGTCCACATATACCTGGCAAAGGTACATACGGGAGTATTGCTGTACTCAGACAACATAGCTGGGCAACATATGAAGTATTATAAAGCCGGTGCACATATAAGGTTTGCAAAATATACAGTACAAACTCACTGTTGGTGTCAAAACTACACCTGATATACTTGATACAAGTTAGCGGATCCCATGCTAAGATTTAAAATATGCCATTTGAAATATCCTTGTGTGTCTTTTTTAAGAAATAGTATGCCTTTTTGGGGTAGTTGGAAAAAGCAGCCTGCTAAAATATTTCAAAATAAAATATGGACCCATCAAAAACATCTATCGTTAATGTAAGTTTTTTTGTAATTGTCCTATTTATAGTTAAATCCCCCCTCTCATAATATTGTAAAGCGCTACGGAATCTGTTGGCGCTACATAAATGGCAATAATAATATGAACATTCACACTTAAAAATCTGAAATTGACAGGTCTCTTTTACAGCACTGTAACTTCACAAAATCGTGTCTAGTTAATACATTGGACATATTGTTTTACTCAGAAGAGGTAACTGAGCATACTTAGGGGGAATTAATGACTGTGTCACTTATCAAATGTACAAAGTACCCAGCAAAAATGCAACATGTATGTAAGAAAATGTCTTTTTTTTCTCACCACAAAAGTTTAAATAAATTGGCAAAAGAATTGTGGTAAGTTAAGGTATAATATATGCCTACTAACAGTGGCGTACATACCAGGGCCTACTGGGCCAGCCTCTTCTCCTGGGGGGCCCAGGCGCCGGCCACCTCAGGGCCCCCCGAGACTGGCCCTGCTGACCCGGGCGGGTAGTGTGGGTGTTATTGGGTGTGTCTGTTATTGGGTGTGTCTGATGTCTGTTAGTGAGTGTGTGTTTGTCAGTGAAAGTGTATGTTTTGTAAGTGAGTGTGTATGTATGTCTGTCGCTGAGTGTGTCTCTGTCAGTAAATGTGTGTATCTGTTAGCTAGTGTGTATGCGTCTGTTCGTGAGAGTGTGTGTCTTCAGCATTTACCTTTCTCCAGCGCCGGACTTCCTTGGCGCTGGGGATCCCTCCGCCTCTCAGCTCCGAATGCACATGCGCGGCAAGAGGCGCACGCGCATTTAAACCGCCCATAGGAAAGCATTACTCAATGCTTTCCTATGGACGTTCAGTGTCTTCTCACTGTGATTTTCACAGTGAGAATCGCGGAAGCTCCTCTAGCAGCTGTCAATGAGACAGCCACCAGAGGCTGGATTAACCCTCAGTGAAACATAGCCGTTTCTCTGAAACAGCTATGTTTTCAGCTGCAGGGTTAAAACTAGAGGGACCTGGCACCCAGACCACTTCATTGAGCTGATGTGATCTGGGTGTCTGTAGCGGTCCTTTAGGTGTGTGTGCAGCATACCGCTGTCGCGGGGTCGCAGCCCTGCGACCAGGTGCCCATCGCCATGTGTTACGGCCCCGACTCGCGCCGAGTAAGCGCGGGGGGGGGGGCCCACGGATCAATTTTTGCACCAGGGCCCCATGAATCATGTGTACGCCACTGCCTACTAAGATACCCTAGGGTGTCTGCTTTCTCATATGGAAGGCATTTGTGGGGTTATTTGAACAGTCAAACTGCTATAATGCCACAAAATCAGACATAGGACCATCTATGAAAATTCCAACTATAGGAACTGAAATTGCATAGTCTCCTATATGTCACTGTAGCTTCACAGAATAGTGGTAAAGGCACACAATGGAGGTATCGTTGTACTCAGCAGTTTGCAGTTGAACACAAACAGCAAAAAATGCAAAAATTGCTTCTGAAGCTGTGTCCTTAAGGCATTAATAATGATTATTTTTAGAATTTGCTCATAAACATAAGGCTAAATCATAAAAACTGCTATTACAATGGATAAAAACAACAAATAAAACACTACATGGAAGCTGGGGTTTACTCCTTCTAATTACCTTAAGGTAAAGTGCAGGAAATAATTTGCCCTCCATGCTTATCCTCCAATGGATGTACTTTTTCAAGACTGTCAACACAGACTACATCACAGAACTGGTACTGATGAGCCAACCTGGTTCTATTACTCCTGTTCCAGTGAAGTTCAGTACTTGGCAATTGCTGGTTTTATCAGTTAACTGTTGTAGTGGTACTTACCCTATCACGAGCTGGCCAGGGTCACTACAATGAGCCTTCCGGGGTACTTACCCTACCATGAGCCTGCACGGCTTGACTACTGCTTGTTCCGAGCAGGCAGCATGCACCGATCTTAATGAACAGTCATGCGGCCCACTGCATGTACTTAAGAGCATTACTCGAGACGTAAGCACGCAAGGAGGTAGTCTCAAGCTCCCATTGGTCCACGCAATTCCAGCTCTCCCATGCACACACATTTTGGGGGCGCAGGCATGACATGGACCAATCACAAGTGATTGATAGCATTCCTTGTTCTCTTGTATTATTGTTCTGGTATTGACCTTGGCTTTGTTCGGACTCTGTGTTTATCTCTAACCCTTTCCTCTATTGTTTGCCTTTCTGATTGATTACCGTGTATCGTTTTTGCTGTCTCTCTGTTACCCTGACCTCGGATTGTTACTGACTACACTTTTTCTCTGTTCAACGTTGAGTCCGGCCATTTATACGTTATTTCCCTGTCTTGTCCCCTGTTGTCCTGAACTCTGCTTGTTGGAGTATTACACCATGACAACTGTCAGGGTAATACACTGGAACCCAGCTACAGTCCAAGAAGTTAGAATGCATGGATAGCCCCAAGAGCAGAATCAGACAGTCGAGAGATCAGTAATCCTGGGGGAGCACAGGTTAAAACTTAACAATTTTTTAAACTACTCTTTATCAGCCAGCAATGTGTCTATTGCTACTATTAGCAAATAGTGACCGTTTTCTGACTGCAAAATGTCACAAGTAGTAATAGGAAGTTACAGGCTGCCATTACAAAAAGTCAAGTAACGGCTAAGTAGTGACTAATGGCTCTGCTTATTTTCTACTTAAAAACAAAAAAGGAACCCAAAGAGAGAAATACTCAAACCTTGTGTTACAAATAAACATATTTTTTCACTGTAGTATATACTCACACCATCTTACAGACAGACTGCTTCTTCCTAATCACAAATGAGCTCCATACGAGGAACAGAAAATAAAAAGTAATATATAGTGTAGTATTTTATTACATTCAATTTGACATAAAAACAGAAACAAAAAGCACTCACAAACAAATGCACAAAGAAACAAACATCAATCTTTGCAAAATTGCATTTGCCCTCACTGGGACAGTGTAAAACTCACAGCCAATATGCAAATTTTCTAGTTAGCCACTGGATTGCAGCTGGTTCCAAACCCTTTTCGCAACTCATTACTGGCTGCCTCTAAGACATAAAACTTAAAGAGGTTATTAAAGAGATTAATGATCGTAGAATCTTGACACATCCTAGTGACACAAAACATTTTCTTCCAAACTTGCCAGATTAACAGGACAACCATTAATTGCCTGTTACTACTTGCCATACAGAGTGAATTGGGTATGCTGTTTCTGTGTTTTACCAGCAAGTAATAT